AAGGTTTAGCGAGCGTTGGGCCGCAGTGCCATGAATACAGTGAACTAGTATATACCATGAACTCGAGGTGGGTAAAGGTGGGAAGTGGACCCGAAGCGCAAGCCGTAAGAAAGTGTGCGTGTGCCACCTCTCGTTTAGTCCTTGGAATGTCCGCTGGATGGCGGTGCTTCTATATGGGGAATATATGATGAAAAGATGCGAGATGGTGGTACTCGGAGTGTTGAATATATCGACGAACGGACACACAGACAGATGCATGGGCGGATGCATGGACGAACGCAGGGACGGGCGCACGAACAGACGCACGGACGGGCGGATGTACGCATGGACGGTCACACAGACGGACGCATGGATGGACGGAAGCAAGAACGAATGGACGGACGAATGCTTCGCCCCACTCTCCATCATTCACTCCGTGGATATGCTGCCAATTTTTTTTTTCTTTTGGACTCGACCAACCGGGCGTGCCCCTTTGTATAGGGTTCCTGTGCACGCCTATGCAGCTGGATACAGTGCACCAGCGCTTCTCTTGCCCCGCGGTGAATAGCAGACATGCATGCATTTCTTTCTTTCGTTCTTTCCTTTCTTCCTTTCTTATTGCTTTCGCTCTCTTCCTTTACGTCTTACTTTGAATCTCTCTCCTCTCTCTCTCTGTCTCTCTCTATGTATCTCTCTATGTTTCTTTGGTCGATGCCTCTTACATATGACGAATCGATTTATAATAAGAGAGAGAAAGGTGTCCTCGTTAACTTGCCGGCTGCTTCAGACGTGAGGCAATGCACAAGCGCATAAGTTATTGGAGGTTTCCATTTACTATTACTGCCTTCACTGTTAATTACATTTTAATGCACTACGGCAACGCTGGACAGGAGCCCCAAGCCCGTGCTCCGAGATCTCCGATTGGCGAACCTCTCTCCGCTAAACTTCTCCCGAAAGCCTATATCCGAGTTCTTTTAATCCTGTAGACTGTCAAAGTGGGAAGAATGTGAAAAATTATAAGCAAACGATACCTCCATTTTTTTTTTTCAATTTGCAACATTTGACATTCTCAAATAACGGTCACATGCAGTGGTCAAATAGTTGCAAAATACTTGAATAAAAATTTGAATCTAAAGAGATTTAAATATACTACGTTAACAAAGTCAACCTATTCCACTGTAACGTTTATGAAGATTCTGCAGAGTAGGGTATTCAAAGTTATGATTACGCGCATTCATGAGTCTATGGGTACGCAATCTTAAAGCTTTTGGGGCATAACTGTGACTGAATTTTTGGGGACGGCTTTAAGCTCTCCCATGGTAGAGTACCTGGTACTCTAAATCGTTACCCACTTTTTCTACCTCCCCCCCCCCCCCCTAAACTGTGAGGCCCTTGGGACGGCTTTATCCTCTCCCATAGTAGAGTACGAAGTACTCAAAATCATCAACCACTGGTTCTAAACACACAGCCCTACAGATTTATCCCTAGCAGCTGGCCCTATGGTCATACTCTATGCTATGGCAGCCACTGAGAAAGAAGTATTTCGCTCAGTTGCAGCAAGTTGACGTCGCAGCTTGTGAGCGTGTTCATTAGGTGATCTGTATTCATCGAGCAGCGAGAAACGACGACAGCGGTGCGTTGTGAAATATTCTGTTTCCCGCACATGCAATCACCTAGAATTTGTGTGCGAGTGATATGATCAGTGAAAGTGGGACTCCACATCGTTATAGCCACCTTGAAAGTGACACCGGTGACCAGCCAGTCTTCAGCAACACCAGCTGCTTGTAATGAAAAGTTGCGATTAGCAACTGTACGTAAAACTAATGATCTTTTTTTCCTAAATTGCATTGCATACGTGGTCGGTATTTCGGCTGCCTACGGTGGGAGTCGTTCCTCGCGCTTTGCCTGGGTAATAGACGCGTTCATGCATATTACCCTGTTGACTGTGCAAAAAACAGCGTTCTTGGCCGAGTAAAGATTGCGTTTCACCCACTTGGATTTACGAACGTCAGACGCCCAATCATGACCGATCGGTGCCGAGAATTCCGCTTCCCGTCGTTGCCTTCGTGTCCCCTGAAAAAATAACGTGAGCGTCTCCAGAAAGTTCTTGCGTCTCTAAAAGAAGGGAAAACAACGATAACGTCCAAGTATGCACTGAAGTTTAGGAAATGGTTTCTTGGCTTGCGAATTGCGAATTGAAAATGCGAAGTGCGTAACGGGTGTACCGTAGCTACAGAGCGTTCCCAACCCATCACGAGAGGATGAGCCATAATTCTGCACGTTCATCAGCTACAGCGTCAACCAAGAGCACGAGACAACTTACAGGTGTGCATATAGCGCGCGCCAGGCTTCTCCGAAAATTGACGAATAATGGCAATTTGTGTACGCTTCCCCACTACGCAGAAATTACGATTTGTGGTGTTGTGCGCACCTTGCAAGTGTATACTCGTGTTGCCCGTTGGAAATTTGGGAGGACTCCAGGAATGCCCCCTCTTTCACCTTTCGCTGTGATCGTGCAGCGTCTTTCGCGAGGGTCCAACGATGTTTTGCGTGTGTTCATGTGCAGGAATCCCCATCAGCGGGGGGGGGGGGGGGGGACGAAGGTTTGTCGCAGTGTCCCTTCCCACCCCTAAGTCAATATGTGGGGCAGATTTTATGGGCCTCCCTTTATTAGATTATTACACACCCCCCCCCCTTTCCCTCCACACCGCCTATGTGTGTGTTTGTATGTGTATGTCTGCATGTACAGACCACAGACATACGCTCTAAGTTTGAAACATTTCGAGTGAGCGCTGAAATAAATGAGAATGGCTTTCTTTTAAAGGTAAAGTTAGCCGAAATTTTGTTCAAACGCATCCAGTTGAATTGTTTTCCGTGTGTTCTCTATAGTGTGTGTTGCTCCGACATAAGCGCGTCGCTCTAAGCCATCTTAAACCAACCAGCCCGATTTGTCGCATTACTTGCATAGCCACTGACAAGCGGGCCGAACGGTTGCATGGGCAGAGGTTTTGTTTATTTTTAGGTTGTAACTGGCTTTACCACTACGCACCTCCGGTATCCAGCTTCCGAAATCTTCGCCCATAAATGTACCCTTGGCCACGTTTTCCGGTCTTGTGGCGGGCCCCAAACCAACGCCACTCTTTTTTTTTCTTCTTCGGGATCCCGACAGTGCGTGCCAAACACAGTGCACTAACCGCGGGCATGCATGTGACCAAATAAAACTTCACAACGACGCGGACAGCCCGAAGTCAGTTGCATCGCTCCGAGTCTCGGCCAGGGAACCCGGAAGAGCAGGTTTGAGGATGACACGTCGGCTGGTGGATAAACCATCCGCCGGGCAGCCGGCCGATAAGGCGGTGGAAAACCGCGCATATATAAGAACGGTCGCCGGCAGCTGCCGATCGGGCACTCCTTCCACACCGGCACCGTACTTCGAGGAGGAATCCACGGACTTCTAGAAACGGTGAGTTCATGAGGATGGGCGCTGGGAGAAGTCATAGGGCGAAATGTCGTTGATACGATCCCGCCTAATACGTTTTTTGGCATAATCCGTTCTTTGTTTCGTTTTTTTCTTTATTTCCTATGCATATAGAGTGAATGCATATAGAGAGATGCAAATAGAGTTAATGCATTTTCTTACGGCTAATACGATCGTATATTCGCGTTGCTCTGATAATACCATCGTGGAAACGCCGGAAAGCCTCGCGTATACGTGGTTTCAATTTGCGCGCCAAGAAACACTCACGCCTTGGCTGATCGGGATACTCAAGTACTTGCAGTATGGTAGAGACGACAACGAAAAGGCGGCAGGTTGCACCGTCAATAGTCACAAAGATAGTAACAACTGACTATGGACTCGATGCTGAACGTTTCGCAGCCTTGTTGCAAGCGAAAAGTTCTGGGATAAAACTGCTACTCGTTTCCACAAGTAAAAAAAAAAGATTCCCACGGGACATTGAAAAACAAAAACGTTCAGCGTAGAGTGAAGGGCTATATACAGTTTGTGATTTTTCGAGCCCTGTTTTAGATGCTATGATTTGCGGAGAATGCACTTTCATTTCTAATGCCCATGAGAATAGTCTTCACTGTACAGGGTGAGTTCGTATCATCATATGCGTGCGGCAGGTTTCTTCATCAAAGAGTGTGGAGGGGTGGGGGACCTTTCCGTGATAAAGATAGGAAGCAAACAGTTCCTGGACCGCGACAGCAGGGATCCAGTCATCTGTAGACATTATCACCAGAAACCCACTTGCATGTCCATAGCCGTGCGCAAAAAACATTGGCGCCGCAGGCTCAACTGAGTGAACAAATGTGGCCGACTTGGAGCCACAGGCCCGCATCTTTCGGCGAAACTGTCGTGTTTGAATAGCTAAAATCAGAACTTTTTCGACATATTTTTGGGGGGATGCTCCACGAGAAAAGCTGTCACACGCATCTCTATAAGGGCCCTCGACGGGCTTCCGGCTGTGCTACAATAGTTGGTGTTTTAAAAATTAACTCGAATAAAGAAGTACCAAAGCACCCGAACCTATCATGCAGACTTACCTATCACGTGTTACGCAGTAGTCCTCGATTACTGCATCCATTAAGACTTGTAGTTTATGACTGCTAGTCCCCGACTACTGCGTAACACTTACCCCCCCCCCCCTTCCCATCGCGTGTGCCGAATCGATACATGTCGATAGTTATAGCACCAGAACAAAACGACGACACAGAGACAAGAAGAACACGAAGGATACGTGTCCTTCTTGTCTCTGTGTCGTCGTATTGTTCTCGCGCTATAACTATCGCCATGCCATACCAACTAGCCCAAGCTCCACACAGATAATAGTCTGACTTTCTTTTCCTCCACTGCGCGCCTTTTGGAGTTGTTAGCGCGTGTTTGTGGTGCCTTTTACTTTTCTCTTTGCCGTCCGTGTTTGTTCGCAGTGTCTTTTAAAACACGAATACTCATATAACACGAACTGTCTCCGGTCTCTGTTATTGTAAACGACCGAACGCTGTTCGCGCCGCAGGTGCAGATGGCATCTGCGGGCGTGTTCTTGCTGGTGGCAGCCATGCTGTGCGCGGCAGTCGTAGCCGAAGAGCCCGAGCCTCGCAGGCGCTACCCCACGCACGGAACCGGATGGCAGCATCAGCCCCAGTACCCGGGCGGCCGATATCCGTATCAGCGCCCTTGCACCTACAGGTAGGGCGACGTCCTTGCATTTTCAACTCATGCATTTTCAGCTCATGCATTTTCAGCTCATACGACTCGAAGCCACGTTATTTTTTTTTCTTTTCGGCGCGATAGATGTGGTGAGCAGGCTGACAGTGTTGCATGTCCTCCAGCAATGCACAAAAGTATAGAGCCATATAGAGGAAATCGTTTGCCACTGCCTTACAAGCAGAGAATTCATTTTCAGGTACAGAACCTCTCGTGAAAAAGCGAACCACTTTTAGAGTATTTAATAAAACATGCACACGCTTTCAATCCCGCATGTCCGGGTAAACCGTCGCACGCGTCCTCATGCACGGGAGCTGCTGCGGCAGTATTTCTCTTTTCATCTTGCGCTCAGTTTTCCAACTTTTTCTTTTTGTTCCTGTTTATTTCCCTCTCTTTTGACGTCTTTTTCTGTCTTTCGATCTTTATTTTTTTCTCTTTTTTTATCCCTCTCTGCTCTTCCTGTCTCCTCCTTTGTTTCTCTTTATCTTTTTCTTTCTCTTTCTGTGTCATTATTTGTCTTTCTGTCATGGTGTGTTTTCATTCCCTTTATTTCTCTCGAATGATGTTGATGATCATGTCACCAAGCTGATTTCTCGGTTGAAGGGACACAAAACAATTAAATGCTCTACATCGACAAACTGCACTCTGAGAACTCCAATGCCGAGCTCCACTATCATGAGCTCAGTATTTGCGAATAAAATCAAGGTTGGAGTTCCACTTTTACATTTCGCGGCGAAGACTCCGAGCGTGACGTTAGGCATTTCAAGGTCTTTTTTTTGTATTTTTGAGCATTCGCTTGTCGAAACTTTCTGAAACTTCGAATTCTAGGCCTAGGACACCCACAAATGACAATGCTGCTTCATTATTATCGATTGAAAACTACGTTGGACTCGGTATACGCCTTCGCAATCTGCGACGTCACGGTGTTTGGTTCGGGAATCTCAAGGTGGCGTTTCCACCAGCATCTTTTTTTTCCCCGCTTTTCTCCCTTACCAATCTTCGTGTCGCGGTAAGGGTAGTGTTTTCGGGACTGTCAAAATGTGCTTTAGTAAAACGCGAAAAAAATATTTTTTTTCTTTAGTGTCCCTTTAACGCTCGCCCCTGTTGTATCCGTTAGTGGAGCTTGCCCCATTCCCGTTGCGCATGCCCACCAGTGGAGTTCTTGGCTCCTCTTGGCCAATCCCCCATCGTGGGTATGCGCCACTATCAATAGGTGAACAACAACAACAACAAGTTCTCGCTCAACGGAGCGCAGTTTACCGATATCTTAATTGAACAGCCTCCGGCTGTTAAAAGGAGACATGCTATTGTTCGGGCATATGGACTCACCGCTGTTCCACAGACTCTAATGTGCTTTGACGAATGCGGTGTGTGCAGGTGCACGCTGCGACTCTGCGACCAGTACGAGTGCCACTACAGATGCCTCCGCGGAGCCACCTGCCCGACCCTGAGTGACCTGGACGCCCGCAAGGGCCACGGCGCCGAGATCAACGTCTCCAAGCCGCTCAAGGAGAAAGTGGACGTCTTCGACTACGTGCCGCAATGAATGTCCCAATAAAAATGCACAAGAGCTCGCAAAGAAAGAAAGGCTGTTCGCTAGGAAGCACTTGATCTTTTCGTTGTATACACAAAGTGGTTCTAAGAGAGAAAGGAAGAGAAAAGTGAGCCCCGTAACTGTCTGCTTCAGGGAGCGACACCTCAACAGTAGCTCACAAGGGATGGGGGGTGAGGAGGGATTGAAAGGATAGGAATAAAGGTGTAGAGAGAGAAAGAGAGATGAGCTAAGCCAGAGAGCGACGACATATCGAGGGGATAGGAGAGATAGGAAAGATGGAAACACGGTCACAGGAGTCTGAGGACGGGGCACCACTTGCGAGATCTCTTGTCGGCGTCAGGAGATGGTGTTGAGCAAGTCCGGGAGGTCAGAGCTACGCTGTCGTCGAAGCTGGGCGTCTGGAGATGACGTAGGGCCAGCCCAGTCGGCCAGAGCTACGCTGACGTCGGAGATCGCAAGGGTACAACCGGTCGGCACGGTATACGCGCAGCACATTGTATATATATAGCTGCCGTTTGAGTGACCTGTACCACTGGGTACGCAGGTATGAAACACGTGAAAGAAAGGCCTAGAACGTTCAGCGCGTCATTGTATGTTCCTGAGGGGGGGGGGGATTGTGGTTAGAGGAAGAGAAAGGCACCTAATTTCTGCAGCCCGGCCGGGAGCACGGCGCAGTGCCTGATATGTTCCTGTCTGCAGAATTTATAGTCTTATAGTACGCGCCTGGAGTGAAGTTGGGGGAGGGGGTGACAGTGCGTTGAAATTTTCGCTGCCTCCGTTTGCCATCCAAGAGCATCATCATCGTTATCCTAATCAGCCTGACTTATCTTAAAGCGTTGCCTTAAAGGCCGTTACCATTTTCCGTTATTCAACCGGGTTCTATGCTGCTGCTGCTACGTTATATAAGCGAACTTTTTAATCTAATCGTCCCACCTAACTTCCTGTCGCGCTTTTGCCGTCTCATGGAATCCAGCCTGTCACTATAAATGGCCAGCCATTGTCTTGCCTAAGCGCTACATGCCCTAATGATGGTGGGGGAGGTGGCATGTATGAATGGCTGTTTCTTTTTCTGAGTGATTCCACGTAAGATCGAACAAAGCATGGCTAGCTTGAATTCCTTTCAAAATTTTATATACTGTATAGTGAAGTTTCGGGTGCCTAAGCAAGACACACCTGAAGATCACCGGTGACGAAGAAGCATCCATGGGAGCAAGTCCGCACAGACAGGTGATGACAAGTCGATACGATGACTTTGGGGAGCACTTATTGTCGGTTTATTTATCTATCATAACTGGAATTTACACTGCACTCAGAATCACAAATATCAAACTGAGAAAATGATGGCATACGCCTCGGCTCGCATGACTGGTGCCGTTGTCAGTGGTGGTAAGCATGCGCTGTTGACCCCCCCCCCCCCCCCCGAGTCCACTCACCCAAAAGTAACCTGTGCCGCTGCTTAAATGGGATTTCGCAGCGTCCACGGGTACGTGGACCACGTGGAAGCCCACCGCTGTTCACGAATCGGAAAACGGCTTGTACGGACCAATCAGGAAAGCCAAAATTAATCAATCTTTACGTCTTCACCAATTGTAAAGTGGCTTGTACGAACCAATCAGGAAAGCCAAAGTTGATCAATCTTTACAAGTTTGGGTTATCGCATGAATCCTACCTCGTAACTAAACTGTAACACAAGGCAAAAAAAAAAAAATTTTTAAGCCGAATGTGATATTTTTTATCAAAAAATCTACACAACGCAACGCATCTGAATATATATGAACGTTAGCGCAAATACGCCCCTATTTAGCTAAACACACAACTTTAGGAACGTAGTTTTCACATATTTTGTGTAATTCATCGCCAAATTCGAAAGAAAAAAAAAACAGCAGAGCAGGTAAGCGTGGAACTCCACCCCGTCATGGTCTAGTGGCTAAGGTACTCGGCTGCTCACCCACAGGTCGCGGGATCGAATCCCGGCTGCGGCGGCAGCATTTCCGATGGAGGCGGAAATGTTGTAGGCCCGTCTGCTCAGATTTGGGTGCACGTTAAAGAACCCCAGGTGGTCAAAATTTCCGGAGCCTTCCACTACGGCGTCTCTCATAATCATAGGGTGGTTTTGGGTCGTTAAATCCCCACATATCAGTCATCAAGCGTGGAACTCCACCTCTTCGACTTTATTGGTTTACTGTGCTTCAAAAAATCTTTTTACAGCAAACCCGATTTCGCATCTCTTCTTTCCACAATCAGGCAACAATATATAAAATTTTGAAAGAAATTGAAAAGGTCGGCTAGCTATATGCTTGGTTCGATATTACGTGAAATCACCTTTCTTGATTTCGACTAAAATGTCCTTAACACCCGTTTGTGGCCCTAAAATGTTACCCTAAAAGCAAACATAGTCAAAACACGCCGCTACACAAGCCTCCATATACCGCTACGCGACACCTCTCCTCTCTTATTTTTCCCTCTCACGCTGCAGCAGTGACGTCACACATGGGAGTGCTTATAGAGTCACTGTATATGTAGGGACCGTATACAGTTACTCTAGGAGTGCTTCTAAAGGTGCGACATCTTTCGACAGTATCGGTTCTCCCTGTCATATTAGGTGGTATTCAGTGCTACCCGGAGAACGGCAGCGTATCGTCATTCCCAAAAACTAGAAGCGGATAACACGTACTATTATTCGTACAATACGGTGGGCTTCAATCACAAATAAAGGAACTGAATTTCAAACGAACACAAAGAAAAAAGACAGACGGTGACAGGTATTCGGCGTTGTTTTCACCCCCCTTTTTTTTTTTTGCACAACGAACCAACTTGGTCAACCCTTAAATCCAGCAGGCTTCCATAAATCCGCATAATGATCGAATTGTTCGACCCATTCTCGCTTAGCAGACAAAAAATCAAATTTAAAATAAAAATAGAAATGGCCCAAGATATTTGATACAGTAAAACACAGGTTGTGCCCAGCTGAATCCACGAGCACATATTAAGCAAAAAAGAATGTTGAGGTCTCCTGCCTCAAATCCACGATACGAGAGAGAATTTCGGAAGCATTTCGGAGAATTTCATTTTGGAGCCCACCACAGTGGAGGGCGAAATGCGGCCGCCCCAGCAGCTGCCGGGATTCGACCCCGCGACCTTCACGTCAGCGGCCAAGCACCATAATAAGTATGAAACCGCGGCTGGTTCCACCAGCAATGAATTACGACCATTCTAGCTCAAGATCTTTCGAATACCTTGACGATTTGTAATTATCTCGTAATGTCCAAAAAGCGGAACATGTCAACACGGCAGACAGTTAGCATGGCAAGTACAGAGCAGTATATATCGTCTCAAGAAGGTGCACATTCAGAGACTATACGTTCGATGAAACAACCTTTTATGAGGTTAGTTCATAATGATTTCGTCCTGTCCTGATACTCTTAATCAATTAAGGAATCATTATACATTATATGACTTGACATACCCGACTTCTCAGGAGCAGTGCGATAAATTAGACCTCTACCGGCGTAGCAACTTCTTTTTTTTAAATGTTACTGTATGCGAGCATCAGCAGCAACAGAGTAGCAGCAACTTGAAAAAACAAACAAAAAATAAAACAGCGCTTTTCGTTTATAAACAAATATTTACTAAGACACTGCTACCGTCCCGGCAGTTTCGAGATGCGAATTACACTTTCTATATATTGTCTTTATTCAAACATTAGCGTCATTTACTGACTGGTATGAATCATACATTGCTCTTCTTTTATTTTGTTTATGGTTCCACCTATAGAGTTTGAAACACCACTTTTCTCTCGTTTACGCGCTGATAGTTTCAAGTCCGCAGCCATGGCCGGAAAAGCGGTCCACCCTCCGCCGATTGATGGAAGACAGGAGTGTTTTACAAGGAATAAATTTTAAAGAATCTGGCAGATCCCAAGTATAGTGGAAATTGATGTTATTCGAAGCTTGCGAAGGTGATGTGACTGGGTTGTATTTCTTATTCAGCGAAACGTCACAAAATGACGCTAAATATAAGTACAAATGTGGTGCGCAGGGAAATATGTTGAACACATATCTCATCTAACCAATCGTTTGCAGTTACATAGTCCTGCCAACAGGCAACAGGAACATGGGTAATATCAAAACTAGAAGCAGTAAGCTGATATGTAGCGCTCGTGCTTGCGAAGATGGTTTAGCACTGAATAGTATACTTAAACCAGCTACAGTGAGCGTGCCGCCAAAGTACACATCTGACGATAAGGCGACATGAACTCTTTCTCATAGGCGTAAATATGCATTTTTTTTAACTCAGATAGCATGCACTGCAAGTGAAATTGACGTTTCCCCAACATTACGCCTCCATAGGGCATTTTTCCGAAGCGGTTTCGAGATATGACTTGGATCTGGGGCAGAATGCTTGATTGCCATGCAGAATGATTGGGTTCGATTCCTGCTGGGACTTTAATTTGTTTTCTTTGGATTCGCCGGGTAAACGATGCCGATGTCAGTTTTTTCTTAAATCTCGCGCATCAACGTTGCCAATGTCTGTCCTCGCCTTTCCCTGAGCAGATATAAATTTTCAATCGCCTGTGGCGCATACCCGCACACCAGGGCCCGTAGTATATGGGTAATAAGCCACGGGTGTCTGGAGAAATGAGTTTGACGACGTAAGCGATGGAGTTTTAACGTCAGTCGTATCGTGACCGGTAATACATACCCGTCAAATCCTCTCACCCTCCCATATTTACTTTGGTCGACTCCAAGTTAACTTGGCGATCTCAAGCGCACACGGGCGTAGATTAGATAGATAGATAGATAGATAGATAGATAGATAGATAGATATAAACGCTTAAAGTGCCAGCAGTACGCCAAGAAATACTTCGCATTCAATATATATTTTTCTCGAATAGTGAAGGATTTGCACGTCCTCCCCTTTCGAAAAAACCTATGGTTGCAAGAAAAGAAGCGAGAGACGCCAGCATTAAAAAACACATTTCATAACATTTCATGAGACCAATGTCCTCTTGAC